AACGGGGTCAATCAATAGTCATTTTGTAAAGCGTTTTTTACTGCATCTTTTCTTCATAGAGACAAATTTACAACCAGTTATTTCACTATACAAAAATTTATTATTCAAATCGAGTCAGAACTTCTGGCCCACCCTTTATGGGTTGTTCTCTTGAAAGCGTACCACATTTAGATCGACTTTATCCCAACAGTCCGAAAGTAACAGGGCTAGCATAACTCAAGCTCCTGGTGACGAATATGACGTTTAAAATATTTTAAAACAACGGCATCGTGACCTTTCAGACCTGTGGAGATCTCATTTTACAACAGAACAGACGTTTTCTGGGCATGAGCTAATACCGTCAGATTAGAATCCATATGTGCAACGCTGCAAAATTCCTAACGCACAAAAAGTTCTAAAATGCTAAGCACGTTCTCAGGAGAATTTTTAAACAATCATTTTCTCCGTAAATTAAGCCTTTTTTGTAAACCATATTTTCCCCAAAAAAATCGTGTCAGCACACGAAAACAAGATGCGCATTCGACGCAGCTCTATTTGATGAAGTGATTCTCGTTGGAATTAAAAACCATATAATAATAGAAAAAACAACTTTTCAACACGGTTTCCTCGTTTGTCAAAGTCTGAGTACCAGATACAATGATAGCGCATTCCGATCATACCCAGATACGTCTGGCAAAAGTCGTTAAAACCCAATAATTCGTACAGTTATGAGCTGAGATATCTATTTATATGCCTCAGTATGAAGATAAATATACCGTAGTAAGTTATATAACATACTTAGAGAAAGATACAGATAACAATCTACCTATCTTGCACCCTGAAACTACCAGCGAATAAAGAATATTTAAGAAAGAGTTCGTTGAAAATTATGCATGACGTCCAATGACGCATAGATGGGCTGTGCGTAGTTAAGCAATGTTTGGAAACTGAAAGAGCAATGTGGTTTTGTTAATTTCAAGTTCAATTTTCAATGGAAGATATAATCTTGTCAGAGAACATCGAACAGTGCACGATGTGTTGAGTAGGAGGACGATGATGTCAACGTCGGTGACTGTGCAAAAGACAACGAAGGCTTCCCTAAGAAATTATAGCGAGTGTGATAAAAACTTGGTCAACCGGTCGATTTACGTCTTTTTCCTTGACCGGGACCGGCGTAGATCGGTTTAAACCGGTTGTGTCTATCTCTAGGCAGAAGTTTCCAGTAGTGATTAACAGTCAGTTCGTTCTAGTAAATCTGGCCCGCCCTTTACATTACTTTGAGATTGATGATATATACCTTAATATTGGTACGCTATTTGTGTTTCCAAACTGATCTGACGGTGGTCCTTGTCCATCATTACTACGATCAAATCTATAACTTGACATTATTATTGGGTAGCCTGGAAAGACACAAATACAAAGCGAGACATGTTATAATTAAAATCCTAGCCCTGTTGTCTTACCGTATGGCCAAGCTAACATGAAGGCTGTTGCTATTTTATATTCTCTAAACTCAAAAAATGTTAATATACCACCATGTCCACGTTGATTATCATGATTATCCAACATAATTTGTGCATCACGATCGGATGACATACCCCATTCTACAAGGCAAAAACAACGAAAATACATAGTCTTTTTTTCTAAAGTTTACAAATTTAAGCCTACGTTGTCCAAATGTGCTTAGATATTTCATTTTTTGTCCATTACGTTTTTGTACAACTTCACTTAAAAATTTTCCATATTGAAATTCTGACACACGGCCCATCCAAGAATAATCCCAATTTCTAATAGAACCACCACCCATATCGATTACTTCAAAGTAGATAAATGGACGATGGTTTGGGCCATAAACGCTAGAAGAAACAATCAGTAATTAAATTATATTTTTTATTATCTAATTCCCAGTCATAGACCACATACTCTTGTCTTAAATTTTTAAGTGAAGTTGTACAAAAACGTAATGGACA